AACCTAAATTTTTCCCGATTGAAGCTGCACATTTGATAATTCTCATGAGGGCGCATTTTTTAAGTGGCGCGTTTCTAAATCTGGGATCCATAAAAAAACAAGTAATATACTTATCATCATCGAACTTATCAAATCTTTCATTTATTACTTTGATACAATGACTTCGGAATGCAGGATTTAATGATTTGGGTAACTTTTTTAATGTAGCTGCAAGTCTTGCCAAGCTCAGGAAACAATCTGCAAGTGTAGCTCTTCTCGATTCTAATGAAAGTACCGCTTTTCTTAGAGAATCCAGAACAAATCCAAGAACTCGTAAATTTGAAAAAAAATTTCTCGATTGAATAATCAGTTTTATTTTATCATTTGTTAGCACTTTATCGTGATCGCTGGCCATTTCTTCTAGTGCTGATTCCAAATTTATTACTGAATTTACGGATTCACTAGCAGTAGTCCAGCGTGTCTTGCAATATAATTTTAATCCTCCTCCACTAATTCCTTTTTCTTTAATTATTTGAGCAAGTTTTGCATTAGCCTGATGAGAACTTCTAAAAAAGGTTGTCAAAATATTAACACGTTTTAATAAACGTTTCCCAAACTTCTCCTTGACGATGTCGCATGCAATTAAATTGATAGAATGTGCAACGCATAGCACATTCTCAATCTTTGGATGATTCTCATGTATAATTTTTCGTGCATTACGAACATTGGCCACATTATAAGAAACTACAGCAAATATTAGATCTTCTCCAATACCTTCTATAACCTTTTCAATTACCGTAACTAGATATTCTGCAGTGTGCGAATTTTCAGACAAATCAGAAAGTTGATAAAGATATTCTTTACGCGACGGAGTCATTACAATGAAGTTCCAAATTGAACGATGTGTACCAGACGTCCAACCATCAAAGGCTAAATTATAAATTAATATTATATATAGTAAGTAAGATTAAATAAAAATGACGTATGATAGCCTATTTAATTTAACAAACCTAACATTAAATTCGTTTACTTTTAAAGCTCAGAATTAACTTTGAAGTTCACTTGAGCTAATTCACGTTCAAGTAGTTGATTTACTAATACTTCCCTTGTTGGTGTATTGTACCCGGCATTAAGCTCTTTTATAAAATTGATGAAAAAGGGATGTTCCACTACTCTAAACGCAATTCCGCACGCAATAAAAAATTTAACTAATGCACGATTAATTCGTGTACATCTTTGTTCGTTAAGCTCTATTGAATAATGGTAATCATCCATGTTACTTTGACCTTCAGAGTATTTTCTTTTTTTGGATGACTTGGACTTATCTTGCCGTTCCATTACTTTAGTCATATACCTTCTAACAACTGCTGCTGGCGCATCTGGACAATGGTTTGAAAGATGCTCTTCGAGTTTTGAAACTTCACCACGTGACCATGTATTCTTACAGTACTTGCAGGAGGCGGCAAATTTGCCAGAACCAACAGCTTCTCCTTTATTAATATCTTCCCAAATGCTATTAGGTGGCCGACCTCCTCTATTTTTCTTTTTAATGGGTGAATCTTCTATGTGATCAGTCATTTGAAACAGTTTATTATTAATTTTATTATTAAAAAAATGGAAGAAAGTAAAAGAAACTTTAGTTCAGTGTTAAAGGAGATGAAGGAATTAGGTTTATTAAATGCATGTTACGCATTTTCCTTTAATGAATATAAGCCCCTTAAAAAAAAACTGTAAAAAAGTGTAATATCATAATATTAATATGGGAGTTAGAAATGAAAATTCTAACACTAGATAAAGCTTAAAAGAACTAAGACGACGGTAAAATATTGAAGTTTAATCTTTTATCTGTAGATTATTTAATCATCTAAATTATATTATTAATTGGTGTAACTTGGCGTAACTATATGCAAATCTTATGATCAACTATGCCGAAACTACGGAGAAACCTATTATAGAGGTTTCGGCATGTTTCGGCAGTTTCGCAATTTTGACAGGTTTCGCAGTTTCGGCATTTCGACGTTTCGGCACTATATAAGAGGTTTTACCTTTTGGTATTAGGCCAAACAGGTTTCGGCAAGCAACCTTAGATGCACTACTTATCGAAAAAGCCAAAATGATTGCTGATAGATTAGATATTCCCTGAGATGCGTTACAATTTTCCTCGGGATGGCTCCATAAATTCAAAGACCGTAATGGAATTCATCAATGAAAGCTTGAAGGAGAAGCTTCATCTGCTGATAAAGTTGCTATTGCTAACGCTTTACCTTTACTAAGAGAACGTTGTTCTAACTATCCTCTTGAGAGAATATACAACATGGACGAAACGGTGAAGAAAAAAAATATTGCACTTATTTTGCACAAGTGTAGTATTGATATTTTTTTAGGTTAGAACCCGATCGAACACTCGCAACCAAACGTCTTGCCGGGCGTAAAGTGAACAAGGAACGTATTTCGATCGCATTGTGTGCAAATGCTGACGGCTCTCACAAATTAAAGCCTTTAATTATTGGAAAATTTGAGAAACCGCGCTATTTTAAAAATATAAAAATTCAATTCATGCCTATGACATACCATAATAATGCCAAAGCCTGGATGATCACGTCGCTATTCCAAGAGTGGATATGGGAATTTGATCATCAAGTTGGTCTAAAACATCAAGGCCAGCGTGTGTTACTTCTCCTTGACAACTGTTCCAGCCACAAATTAGATGGCCTTACCTTACGATACACTGATGTTTATTTTTTGCCTCCAAACACGACTTCAAAAATTCAGCCGATGGATGCCGGAGTAATTATGTCTTTCAAAAGACACTATCGTCGTTCTCATGTACGGTAAGGTATATTTGTTAGATTTATTAAATTTGCACATATTATAGCAAATCTAACTGATTATTTTTAATAGTTTGTTGCTGCGATATGTAGAGGTGGATAATCGTGCAGAAGATTTACGCATGGATATCTTGCAGGCAATTCGTTTTATCATCCAAGCCTGGGGTGAGCTTAATCCTGAAGTAGTTCGTAACTGTTAGTGGCACACAAAAATTCTTCCTGACGATGTAAATGTAGATTTGAGAAATGTTTCAGAAGATATCTGCCAAAATGAAAACTTGGTACTTAATGAACTCACAGATGCACTTCGAGACCTTAATCTCCCCTATCCAATGCAGGCAGAAGAGTTTCTCAACCTACCTGAAGATAATATTGTTTACAAAGTTCCCGAAGATGATAAAATTATTGAAGAATATCTCTTCAAGAATACTGACAAGGAGAATATGGATCTAGAAGAAATAGACGATAGTGATGAAATTCCCGTTATTAGTACTAGCACTGCAATTGCTAGCTTAGAAACTGTGCGTATGTTTCTGCTTCAACAGGAAAATGCGGAAGAATATGTAAAGTTAGTGGGAAAAATTGAAAAGTTTTTTAGGGTTAAAAAAACAAATTCATTGCGACAGACTGATATTAACGCATACTTTCATTAAAATGTAATTTTATTTCGAAAAATATAAAATAAAATTGAATTTAAATAAAAATTCTTTCAGATTGCTAATTGTGTAACAATATCGATTTTTTTATTATTGGCTGTTCTTTAAGTGCACACCCTCCCTAAATGCACTTGCATGGCCGAGCCCCAGATGCGTGCACTTATGGAGGTATGACTATATTCAATATACTTATCTTTTTCATTTTTTTAATTTAAATGATTATCTATCTAACTGTTTATACTTATGTCTCAAATCAAAGTGCATATAATTTAGTAAAGCAAAGCATAGCTTCTTTATTTGAAAAATTTGCTGGTATCACTTTACCTATAAAGGAATTTGTGTTACATTTAAATAATCAAAGAAATATGATAAATAAAAAATTAGTAAGATAAAATTTTGAATATTTAGAAAAAAAATTGTAATATATGAAAATGAAATAATCATATATATGAAAAATCTATTATAGTAGGGTATATTGATCAGAAGAGAAATCTGTTTAATGAACCTGAACTTTTAATATCCTAAAAATAAATAAAAAAATATATACAATTTTACCGCTATTTATTAAATATAAAAAAATGTAAAAACTGTGAATATACAGAATTCAGATACAGTAATACTTTTAGATAAAAATAATAGATTTCTTTCTCTAACTAGCAAAAGAAAAGATGGACATTTTATTAATTCAATTCATATATTTAATATTATAATAAACTTAAAATCTTTAAATATGATTGTTATTGCCCATCAATTTATAAGAATTACATCAGTGTATGTTGTAATGTATATGGCAAATATTTTCTGACTCTTAAGTTTATAAAAAAAGTATAAGCATTCATATTATAATAAACATCATATTAGGACCTCAAATATCTTTTGTAACATATAGTAAAATACATTTTTAGCAATAATTCAGTTAATATTAATGATAAAAATGTAATTTTACTATCATTAGATTTGTCTTATTGAAATGAATCCAATAAGCCTAAATTTGTCAAAATTTAATCATTAGATCGCTTAAAAATAAAGTATATATGATAAAAAAATTTGAAAATGAAAATATTCCTGAAATATGCAATTCTAGCTAGAATTAATATATAAACTTTACACAAACTTTAATGTAAGTTGTATGAGAGATGTTTAGGTCTTGTCATACTCAATGAAAAAGATTAAAATGGATAGCTAATGAAATAGAAATGGAATATGTAGTTATTCCATTAAACTTTAATGATATTATTTAAAGAAACTTATAACTAGAATTCTGATTAGCATAGTTCAGTTTTAGTTTGAGTTATACTGAAATTAAAACTGAATTTCAGTATTAATAATTAGTAATTTACCAAATTTTTGTTATCAATAAACTATATAACTAAAACTAACTAGTAATTACCGATTACTGATACTAATTTACTAAAATTTATTACTTCTCATAACTGATAATCATTTTTTAATTTTTAGTCCACATATATATAGTTTTTATTTTTTAATATAGTTTTTATAATAAATATAAACATAAATATGTCAATTATAAAATAAAAAGTCAGATTGATAAATTAATTTGAGAAATAATAAAACTGATACTGAAAACTGAAATTACTAAACTAATTGGTAAATTACTGAAGTATTACATTATATAAATTTCTAATATTATTCTGCTTCTCATTTTTCTTTTCTAAAATTTAAATAAGTAAACCACGTATGGGCTGATTTATTTTTTTTGCATTAAAAAAAGTTATTGATTAATTTTCACAATTTTTGTTACTTAAAATTGTTTTGTAATACCAAAAAATTATCTGATTGATAATTATTTAACTAAATAATAAGTTGAACAAAAATTTACATTTGCGAAACTTAAATTATTAAATGTAAAAGAGCTGTGAAAAACCCCATTTCACTAATAAAAAACCCATTTCTCATATATATGGAATTTTTAACATATATTATTAAAACGTAAGTATATTTTAATAAAATATAAAGTAAAATAAAAATTTATATAGCCTTAGTAGCTATAAATGTTTATAAAAGTATAATAAAAATATCATATAAAAGATGGTATCATAATAGATATTTTCAAACAATAAAAATAATTATTTTATGTCAGAGTTTGTATTACCATCTTTAAACGCAAATATATCAAGATTTACTGATCCATTTTCTATAATTTTAGGCTCTTTGGAAAGCCCTTGATCTGGTCTATATGAACGAAAAAAAAGCTTACCGATTGGATCATTGGATCTGGAGATATTTACGTTTTAAGTTGAGATATAAATTTTTAACATATATAGTAAGTGCTAAGAATTATATTAATTTAAAAGAAATATTTACCAAATTATAGTATAATAACATTAAATAAAAATTTTTTAATACTCATTCCCAATTTACTGTATATTATATAGTATTTTGTATAATAAAAATGTAATAAAATTAATATTTTAATTAAAAGTAGACAAATCAGCTCATATGCATGATACTTCTTATTATTTTAATATAAAGGAATGTATTAATATCTTTTAGTTATTACTTTATATTATATAAATTATATAAATAATCCTATTACTGTTAATACCTTAAAATATAATATTAATAAAAAATGAATAAACAAAACAAATTTGCTATTTATTACCGGTGGTAATTTTTACCAGTGTTGTGGCAATGTAGCTGTATCATATGTTAATCATGTGTTCATGCAATTTTCAATTTTATTATAATCTAACAAATCTAACGGTAATCGAAATTTTATTATTATACAATTAATATGATTAATGCAATATTATGTTATTAGATGCTAGATATTAATACATCTTAATTACTCAATAAATTACATCTTTAAACACTAATCTGATTTTCTTTATCCATTAATAGTTTCTCTAACAGTTTCTGTATAAATATTAGAAATTTTAAGTCACTCAATATGGTGCAATGGCAATAAGTTACTTTGAATTCTTTGAGAGATTATAATTTTGCTAATTGTTTTAGCAGATAGTGCTACTTTAAACTAACGTAAATGAATAAATTCTAAATGAAAATTCGCTTTGGTAGATTAAAGAAAAATGTGATACTAACGTATATATGGCATTCTTTGATTAATAATCAACATACACATACAAAGTAATATAATCTGTAAAAATTACAACATAATGAGGTTTAGATGTTAAAGTTATTAAAACATAAGAAACTTCCCAAATTTCTTGAATATTATCTTCAGATATATCCAGTAAAAATACATACAACCTGATTTAAGGCATATCATAAATATACTTAATTATATTAGTAGATGAAAAATTAGTTTCACTAATCTAGATATAGAATATAACTAGGAAACGGAAACTGTTGTAAGTCCGGAGCGAAAGATTTGTACAAAAATCCAAATATCTTTAAAAATTTAATTTGTACAAAAAATCTGGCATCCCTAAAAAAATAAAAATGAAAAATGAAACGTTAGAAACGTTTCTTTAAGGTTAAACAAGTAAGAAAAGCCCTAACAATTTACCTTTAAAAGTCAGGCATGTACAAAAAACCTGTGTTACTAGATAAAAGAAAATAAAAATGAAACGCTAAAAACGTTTCTTTAAAGCAAAACAAATAAAAAACAACTCACCAGTCCGGTATGTACAAGAAATCCAGAAACCCTAGGAAAAAAATAAGAAAGTCGTTTAAAAGAAAAATATACTTACTAGCCGAAATCTAAAAAAAAAAGGTAATCATAAACTTTTTTACTTGTTTATTTTTGATGTAGCTGTGCGAACTAATCAGAAATGACGTGTGCGGACAACCAGAAATCGCCACATGACACTAATTGTCATCGACCTTCGTAAAATTATATAGTCCTTCGCTACGCTCCAGACAATAAATAATGAGTATACAATGCAATGAAAATCTGGAATTTTTTCCTAATAAACTAATCAAACCTAAGCTAATGCAAATTGAGTTTTTTTTTCTAACAAACTAACCCATCCTAATCTAACCTTAACTTTAAGCTAATGTAAATTAAGTTTTTTTTCCTAACAAATTAACTCACCTTAATTCTAATCTTAAGTTAATGTAAATTTAATATAATAAGAGACAATACAAATTTACTTATAATACCAATTCTAAATGAATTTACTTGATTTTTTGTAATTAAAGTACCTTGATATAATAAAGATTGTTTTATTTAAGCTCATTGAAATGATAATGGAATTGGTAATAAATAATCTTTTAATACAGAATTAATATCTTTAAAGATTGTAGAATAAGTCGATAGAAAGCTAGATGATAGATTTGATCTATAATACCCTTCCATTAGGTTCTGTAAAAGTAATTCATTAGTTTCTAAATTTAATATAGCGAACATAACAAAATGTTTTAAAATTATCAAAAAAAAATATCATACTTTAGTATATAATGAATAAAGATAGGAGTTGTAAATGATATTAAAAAGAAAAGGATAAATAAATAAGAAAAAGAAATGCTTATATGACAGATGAAGGAAAGATAAAAAGTTTACGGAAAGAAAAAAAAAAGCTTTGGATGAAATCATATAATTAATAAATGTTTTAACTTATATAATTACACAAATCACACAAAGCCACAAGCCACCGGTAATACGTAGTAATTTTCTAAACAAAATATACTTTATATTTCTTATATATTTATATATAATACAGTCAACTCCCTCTATAGTCACTCCCGTTATAGTCACATTCTACTATATAGTCACACCAGTTGAATGTTCAAAACACTTTATTATTAAAATCTATCCTATATAGTCACAATCTATCTATAGTCACTATCACACCT